TCTCCCTCTCCCTCTCCCTCTCCCTCTTCCTCTTCCTCTTCCCTCTTCTCCTCCTCCTCATTTAAGATGTATTCCTTTTTATTTTGTGTGTATGGGTGTTTGGCCTGCAAGCGCACTGCACATGCACAGGAAGCAGAAAATCCAGAAGAGGGACATGGAAGAATGCTGCTTATGGCTTGTTCCTCCTGGCTCACTCAGCCTGTTTCTTTTAGCATCCAGGTCTACCAGCTCCGAGGCAGCACCATCCACAGTGATCTGGCACTTCCATATCAATCAAGGAAATGCACCGCAGGCTTACCCACAGGCCAGTCTGGTGGGGGCATTTTTCTATTTGAGGTTCCTTCTTCTAAAAGGACTCTAGCTTGTGTCTGGTTGGCATAACACTGGCCAGCAGATTTGGCAAGGTTTGGCCAATGACTGTTGGTTAAAATTTAATTCACTGCAAGAAATGAAGGTGTGCTAAAGGAGAAACTCATGGGCATGCTTCCTGCCTGGATGAATCTCTTTCTTGTCTCTTTCTGAGCTGAATGAACAGCAGAGGTTGCTTCTTTTGTGGCTAGAACAAGGTGGCTCTATTTCAGTGCAAGTATGGGTCTGTAAGTCACTCCATGTACACTTTCATTACAGTGCTCCACTGCCTGGGCGTAGGTGGAGTTTGGGGCCTCTCCTGTCCTCTGCCACTACATTTAAAATACCTGCAGAATGCCTGTGAGTCCTATGAGCCCCACAAGCCCTACAGAGGCCAGCAGACTCCAGAAGAATCATGGTGAGGTGACTTCAAGTGCTTCCAACTCAGGCAGCTTTGGGCCTGGACCCCAAAGAGCTGTGTAGTTCCGAAAACCTGAATTGACCTTGCCAACACTTAATTTATTCATCAAAAAGATAGAGACAGTCAGACATACCTTTTTAGTTGTATTGAATACTAAAATAGATAATGTAGAAATCTATCAGCAAAAGGGGTTTTCTAGAAGCAAGACCCTCATCTCTAGAAGCTATGAATTCACAGAGATGGATAGATAGATGATAGATAGATAGATAGACAGACAGACAGATAGGTAGGTAGATAGGTCACTGGGTACCCTCTCTAAGACTGATAATTGTTATTACTTAACCAAACTGTGTGAGGCATGTACTCAAGGGCTGAAGTGAAGGCCAAGAGAAAGATGTTTATAAGCAGGAATATGAACTCCTATTTTGAAAATAACTTATTTACTTTTATTTTTTGTACATTGGTGTTTTGCCTGCACATATGTCGGTATGAGGGCTTCGGATCTCCTGATACAGACAGTTGTGAGCTGTCATGTGGGTGCTGGGAATTGAACTCAGGTCCTCTGGAAGAGCAGCATGCTCTTAATCTCTGAGCCATCCCTCTAGTCCCAGGAACATGGGCTCTTGATTCTATCACAGTGACAACCATGTGGCAGCTGCTTCAGACATAATAAAAGGAAAGAAAAAACGAGGAAGAGAGGAAGAGAGAGATCGAGGGAGACCTGACCCATAATCTTTCTTATATTGCTTCTAAAATGAAAATTTCTGACTAAAACAGATATTCTTAAAAAACAAACAAACAAAACTAGACATTCCTTCATTCTTAGGAGACAGAACAAAGGACATAGGTACCTAACTTCCTGCCACGGTCACTTCTAACCTGAAATCTGAACTCCCTGAGTGAAGCTGAGCTCCCCGTCATGTCGCATGCACTTTATTGGCTCTGAAGACCTCTGGTTATGGACGGTGTTCACGGCTGCAAAGCCAAATTCCCAAAGTGATTCGCGTTTTCGAGATGTTGATGTCTCACGCTGTGTTCTAATAACATTTCCAATACTGGCTGCGACACAGACTGCGCTACCCTAGCTTCCCAGGGGACTCAGTGGGGAGAACCCCTCTGGTGAGCGTCCTGGAGCTGAGGCACCCGCTGCAGAGTGCTGAGACACACATTTAATATCAGCAGACGACAGAGAAACAGTTTTGCAGTAAGTGTGGGCGGGAGAGAGACTCCTTTTTAAGCAACCTCCCCTCATACACCAAGGCAATGCTGTACTGACCCCTTCCCCACGTCTATACGACCATGGAGAAAGCCGTGGAGACAACGAGAAAGCTCTGGAGGTAACAGCTTGATGGGCCCTCAAGCCCCACTGCCGTAACAAGGCATGAAAGTTGAACGGGCTGAACTGAGCTGGTCCAGGAAAATGCTTGAAAGCTCTGGAAACATCCAAGCTTGCAGAGCTGAAGACAGCATGCAAAGGACCGCTCTTCCACCCGAGTGACAAGCCCAAGCTGACGTGAGCATCAAGCGGGTTTGGCATGTCAGCCAAGAGAAAGGAAAGGCACAGTTACCCCGGAGGCACCCTGGGCCCATGACCTATTGCTACGGAGACCTCTTTCACCTGGGGGAGTCTTTCCTCTGTCCTCTGCCTCCTCCCACAAGAACTGAAGTACTTCCCCGGTTTTGAAGATTCTCTTTCAAGATGCTTGGCCTCTCTTAGTATAACCAGAAGCACTGATTTAGAGTTAGGATGAGAATCATCTTCCTACAAAGAAGCTTGACAGGAGGACAATTCTTTGGTAAGGCCTCGGACAAGAGTAGAAATCCAGACTTGCTCTTAAGTTTCTGGTGGGAGCAGAAAGAGACATGACCTTCATTTAAACAAACAAACAACAATGAAAACCAAAGTGGTTGGGGATAGAGCTCAACGGGAGAGCACTTACCGAGCATGCGCAGGGCCCTGGGGTCCATCCCTAGTCCCAAGCACTGTAGAAGACAAACAATGTAACGATATTTGCCTAAAATGTAAATGCATGTGAGGTTTAACTAACAACTCCACCTCTAAAAACCCACAGCCAAGAGAAGCACTTCTACCTTGGCGACCTGATACACGTTTGATATAGATTACGCATTGCTGTGGACAAAGCAAAGAGACTAAAAGCGTCCTCAGGGTCTGTCAATAAGGGACATGGATCAGTGGGAGCATCCATAAATGAACACAGTAACTAGGAAACTGGCTATGATCTCATACTTCTAAATGAAACAGGCCTGAGATTCACTACTTATGTGAAGAAGTTGTTTGGCTCACAGTTTTGGAGATTTTGGTCCAAGATCAGTTGGCTCTTAGATTCAGACCTAAGAAGAGACCTCACATCATAGAAACAGAGAGCTGGACCACTGGGTCACAGTCTTCCAGAGCCCTATCATCCCAAATGTGTAGTGGGTAGCCATTCCAGCTTGGATCTGGAAGTTCCAACCCCCATTGAGACTCTGGCAACTGTCACGCCTATGAGGCGGGGCGAGGGGAGGAGCTGGAAACCCGAGAGCTGGATGGGTGAGCGCTCTCTCTGTGCGCGCTCTCTGCACCTGGACCCTGGAAGGTGGAGGTTGAATGTGCAGAGCTCCAGAGAACACCGCTGGATTGCGATACACCTTCCCCAGACCCCCGCAACCTATCTATTCCTTCATTTGTAAGTCATCCACTAAATAAATCTTCCTTTTAATTACGTGGAGTGGCCTTTATAATTTTCCCCAATACAAATGCTAAGGCATAGACTAGGCCTGTGCACCCAGGTCTCACCTCCGGGCCAACTTCCTTCCATCATGCCAGAGAAGTACTCTCTCCAGCCAGTCTGCAGCAGCCCGGCAACTCACTAGGCCATGAATGCACTGAGGGCAAAGATCCTGAATCTGCCAGCAAGCAGAATCCAGTCCTAGGCCAGCAGCTCTGCCTGGATTCCAGAGAGATCCAGTCTGTTCTAATGTTTCTGATGGTTTCCATGGGCAGTACTTCTGATCTATACGTGGTTTTTCTGCCAGGCTTCCTTCCAGGAGTCATGGCACCCCATAAGTGGCCACTGACACAGCCTTCACTGCCAGCTCTGCTGTCCCCCACCTGGACAAGAGGCCAGTTCAGTAATGACAAGCCTGAGAAGGTGCTGCTGAAATTCCTTTCCCCAGAGCAGATGTGGGCAACATCTACCCCTCCTCCCAAGGGCCCAACGACAAACTAAGGCACAATTCTGCCCAACTCTACTCTGGGGAACCAGTGAGTTTATTGGGCTTCCTATAGGGGTGTGGGTGACCCCCAAAAAAAATGCTGCACCTGAAAAGCCTTACCCAGCAGGGATGAGGGCTTCTCTTTACCCACATAGATGGACCCCCAGCCCTAGTCCGCCCTGGCCTCTGTATACGCGAACTCCTTTATATACCCTTCCTTAGGCCACATGCAATCAAACCAGTTTTGTACAAGAGGAGGTAGAAAGCAGTTTGATACTCAGGTGAGAATATCAAGCCCCTCTTCACCCCTCTGCGTGGGTGTGTAAACAGTCAACAAGCCAAACTAGCATGATTTTTGCAAGGGGGTGCAGGTAGATATCCCAAAATGGCTGGTGGCTTACCTTGGAGGACAGTCGCTCAGAACACAAGGGCTACTGAGTGCAGTAAGAGGACTGGCATGGTGAGAGCCATGGCGGGACTCAGGTTCAGCATACACTGGGATGGTGAGGGCTATGGGAGGACTCAGGCCCTGCACACACTGGGATGCTGGGGACTGTGGGAGGACTCAGGCTCTGCATACACTGAGATGGTGAGAGCCGTGGCAGGACTCAGGCTCAGCACACACTGAGATGGTGAGGACTGTGGGAGGACTCAGGCTCTGCACACACTGGGATGCTGGGGACTGTGGGAGAACTCAGGCTCTGCACACACTTGGATGCTAGAAGTTATGGGAGGATCACAGCATGGAATCAACATAGTGAGATCTGGAGGGGACTGGGGACACTTGGTGTCACTCCAAATCACTGTCCAGGGCACTCAGAAGGGGATCACGAAAGCCTCCAGGAATGAGCGTTTTCAGGAAGTTGATGCGAGCAGGAAGCTTCGAGAGCAGACTCTAAGAACTGCACCAGAGCCCATGTCAAACGTGCTCTGGAGGAAAACTGGAAGGCTGGGTGTTGGAGGAAGAGGCACTGGTTCCAGCAGCCTCGGGGTACCCCAGCATGTCTGAGGTGGAGACTGGGTTCTCACAGCTGAGATGGCCAACAAGCCTGCTTCTGGCAAAACACTTCCTTGCTCTATCACCCCACGGTGGGAGGCAAGAGGGCAAGAGGACCTTCACTGGCACTGGCGAGGCGCTGGTGGAAAGAGAACGGGTAGGAGAGGAAATGCAGGAGAGATGGAGATTGGCGAGATGGGGTCCAGACTCACCCTTCCATCAGGAGCCTATTCCCATGGCGACAGTGCCAACCCACCTGTGGGAGGAGTCCTCATTGTACCTCTCTCACTATTTCAGCACTCTGTAGCCGGAAATTAGACTCCCGAGGCGTGGACTTTCAGGAAGACATTTGAACTGCAGCAGACCAGGTACAATGATGCTCCCAGACCTAGCCATCAGGTCAAGACGGCTCCTGCAGACACTGAACAGGAGAAGCCGGAAGAGTCGAATGGCAAGCAGACCGCTCCTTGGGCTAGCAGAAGACAAGGGGCACTGGAGCGGCAGTCTTGTGGACGATAGCCCCCGGTGTGGATCATGTTCTGTTTTCACACTCCCCTGCCTCCCAAGTCCAGGCCTGACTCTCCCGGCGAGGGACTGGCGGTGCACAGCCTTACTTCACCTCCTCCAGGAAACCTCGTCTGGTTACAGATGTGTCTCGGGATGTACCTGGAGTCCCTGTCTGCTATGAAAGAAGAGCATGACATTTCACAAGAAGTAAGCCTGGTTACTCAGAGCAGGACCAACCCCAGGAGGGTGGTTGTGGGTTCCTCTGCTGCATGAATCCAAGGCTGTCTTCACAGACACTTCAGATATTTGAGAGAATCTCCAAGTTACCCGAGCCCTATCACTAAGCTCCATGCCGGCCCCTCAGCTCCTCTTCTCTCTGCCATGGACAATTCTCTCCGCAGTTGGATTCATTCCACCCACCTACGCCCCCCCCATGACCCATTTTGCCTATTACTTCACCCAAAACTTCCCTAGCCACAACACACAGTCCAAAATTCCTAGGCTGGCTTTTAGAACTGTCTGGAGTGAACTTACCTTTCTGAAACTCTCACCGGCTGGGCTCAAGGTGAACAGAGTGATTCATCCGTGACTCACTTGTCATCAAACCAAAGAAGGTACTTTTCCATCTTGGTTCTTGTTGTCTGGCATCGACCCAATATCCATCATCATTTATTTACATCTTACCATAGTCAAAATTCAACTCGACATCATCTCTTCTAGGACGACCTCCCCGATTCTAACAGCCAGACGCGGATGCTCTTCCGTTCGCGGTGGGACTTATCTCTGCTCCCTCCTCTTCGTTTTTTATGTATTGCTGTGTATGCAGCTGTGCTCCTGGGGAGTAAGTTATAGCTTGGGTTTCCTGGACGGTATCGTTAGATCTTGGGCCTCATATAGAATATAGACTTGCAACATTTAGACTGGAGGGGCTTGCTGTGCACCAAATGTGTCCCCACCAAATTAATACATCCTAGCTAACTCCCAAGGTGATGGTTTTTAGAAAAGGGACCTTAGGGAAAGAATTAAGCTTTGATGAGGGAGCAGGGGTGTCACCTCCTCCATGGGACTGGGGTCCTTGTGAGAAGTCGTGCTTAAAGTCTGCTGTCTTTTTCTCTCTCTGATGTGTGAGTGAGTACACTGTGAGAAGGGAGCACTCACCGGGACTCAAGCCCTGATCCAAGACTTCACACCCTCCAAAACAGAAAATTAGCTTCTACTGAAGCCACCCAGTCGATAGCATTGTGTTAGGCTACCACGAGGCAGACTGGCCTTCAGGGTCCTCTAAGCAGCCTCATTTTACACCGTTGTTAAGTACCAAATCCAAAGGGCCACAGAGCAGGGCAGAGATCAAACCCAGTCAGTCTCTTAACCCCCAATCTCCAGCAAGCGTAAGAAGCTTGCCAACTAACGCGAAATGAAAGGAAAAGCTCAAAGCAAAAAGTGTATTTTTCTTAAACATGTCCATACCTTAAACTCTTTTTATCCTAGCCTTGAAATAACAAACCAAAGGTCCAAGGGGACTTCTAGTGAGGTCTGAAATTAAGAATATGGCTTAAAGGCTGCCAAGGATGAGAAAGAGAGAGGCCTGTTCAGTTATGACAATATCACCTTACAAAGTTATGAATTATGCAAGTGAAAACAGACCGCAGGATGCCTGACCTCACGAGACTTCATGTACCTGTACACAACACTGCGCGAACAAGCATTTCAGAGCCCCGCTGAAAAGGTGTCGGTTATACGGCAGCTTTACCCTCCTCCTCCAGTCCTTTCCTTCTCACAAAGGCTTCCACATGCGTCGGCTTGGGCAGTCTGTGTGACCACCAACAACATAGCCATCACCATCTCTGCGCAGAATGACACAATGAAGTGTGGGAACTGGAGACCTAAATACAGGGTGTGTGTGTGTGTGAGAGAGAGAGAGAGAGAGAGAGAGAGAGAGAGAGACAGAGACAGAGACAGAGACAGAGACAGAGACAGAGAGACAGAGAGAGCAAGCGCATAGGGGAGGGGGCTTGTGATAGGATTGTTCCTGTTTCCCATATATCCCAGACTAGCATTCAATGTTCTCTGTCAGGCCGTGCTGAAACAGAAAAAAAAAAAAAATGGAGAAACCTGAGCTTGGGTCCTAGCCTATTACCTGTAGTTAGGGGAAGTCATTCAGCCTCCTTGCTGTTTCTTCATGTGTGGAAAGTGTGTGGAATAGTTTTCTCTTCAATTCTCTTTAGATTCAGGTGATCTGTGAGTTGCAGAATTAAAGAGCATTACATAAAAGTTCAGGCTAGGTTACTTTCAAAAGATTTTTGAGCACTGGATCAGGCCTTAGGAAGAAGACACCATACACAGTGCTTCTTACCCAACTCTACAAGGGAAAGAGATGGAGACCAAGACTGTGTTCCTGGTCTAAAAAGTTAAAATCTGTCCTATGGGCACTAGGAAGACTCAGAGGCAGCCATCTGCTGCAGTGGCTCTGACATGACTTTGAGAGTCGAAAGCAAGCATGGAAGGACTATCTCCACTGAGACTAGAAGACACCTCATTTCTCGATTCTCTTCTGACAGAGTTCAAGATTGCTGGTATCCTGCCCCATGGAGAGCCCAGACACTCTTGATTTCAGGACAGCAATAGATGGATAGAGACACATGCACAATAAGACATAAAGTAATCTGGAGTCCTCTATACTAAAGGACACACACAGATTAACCATGTAATTGCTAATCTAAAATAGAGATTGGTTTCCTATGTCATTCCATAAATTTTAATTTTTGATGTAGAGTAATTTTAATCCAGCTCAAAAACATGTCCTCAATGGGCCCGTGTCTTCAGAATAATCAAAAACATCCATCAGAAGAAAGATGGTAAGCAAGTGTGTAACACATGAGAAATAACGTCAGTGTCTAGAAGAGGATGGGTTTAAAGTGAGATGATCAGGTTGCCTTAGCTATGGCTTTCAGTTTCATTGTCTGGTTCTTGCATCCTGTACCAATTTGTGTTTACACATCCCATGAGAATTTAAAGGCCCCTCTAGCCAGGGATCTCTCTTATCAGCAGATGTTGAAAGGGAATTTGAGGCTAAGATTTGACTTTTCAAACGTCAGCACCCAAGACGCCCCCTTCACAGCTTTTTGTCTTTCCTCTATATTATATAATCATTGGCCTAACATCTTACTCTGTGTTCATGCTAAACAACAAAACTGGTCAAACGAGTTCAATTAGCTTCAGTTGTACTTCCTCCCCAACATATTAAGCTACATAAGAGCTATATAAAATATTTTCCCTGGCTTCCTCAAAAATGTGAATTATGTGCTTGTGGTTGATTTGTAACTGCAGAGTCTGTTGGCTACAACTTAGATGTCAATATTTATTCACTTGTCAAATACTCATTTGCTATCTGCTTTATAGATGCAAAATAAACATGACAGAGTCCTTGTCATGACTGTCACCAGAAAATGAAGGAATAGACAGTAATAGTCACACCTGGAATACAGCATTGAGCAAACAACACATCCTCTTTGAGTCATTCACAGTGATGTGATTGGCCCTCAGTGGCACAATGTATCCAAGAGAGTAGCTCTTGGATCTTTTGGTTTGGGAAAACTTAAGCACCCTTAAATTTATTTGAGAACCTCAAAGAGCTAAGTGGGAGTTATTTACCAAAACTTAGTATATTCAGAGCTGGAGAGATGGACACACAGTTAAGAACGTTTGTTGTGCATGTATGAGGTTTAGAGTTCAGATCCCAGGGCCCATGTAGAAGCTAGACCTGATCCCATGCTGCCTGCGACCCCAGTACTGAGGAAGGCAGAGACAGGAAGATGGCTGGGCTCACTGTCTGCCAGCCTGGCTGCGGCACAGACTCCAGGTTCAGTGAACCTGTCTCAAAGAAATAAGGCATTGAGTGATAAAAGAGGTCACCAGAGCCCATCATCTGCTCTCGACATATGTGTTTGGGCATTTGCTCTGCAAACATGTGCATATATCACACACACCTACACCTCACACACATATGCTCACACATGCACACCACACACACACACACAAGTTTTAAAAAGCATTATGTTCAAATTTTAAACTGCAACTGTTTAAACATCTAATAGTTGCTTAAAATAACAATAGTAAATACATTGCATAAATAACATTTTATGAAAATGACAATGTTTCCTCAGATAGAAAAGTTTACTAATTGAAATAAACCAGTCAAAAAGTATACACCTCATCTGACGTCACTAATACTGTGTGCAAGGGCTCTAGAGTTGTCAGATTCCTGCACTGCTCTCCATAAAAGCTGTGGAAAGGGGTGAAGGGGATGCTGCTTCCTGGGCACAAATAAGGTGAGAAGGTTTGGGACAAGTTGCATAACACTGTGAATGTGCTTAATACTTCAAAATGTGAAGACAACGTATTTAATTTTTTCTTTATTTTTGAGAATTTCATACATGTACATAAAGAAATATAATGCTATAAATGCCCCCCATTTCACCTTCCTACTCCTTCCAAATTCCCCAACACACCAACTGGGCAAGACATTGGTTTTGTTGTTGTTGTTGTTGTTTTGACTTGTTTTGTTTTTGTTTTTCATAACTCACTAGGTCTAATTAGTGCTGCTCCTATGTACATGAGTGTGGGTCATCCAACGGAGTGTGGGAAACTTACCTGTGGCCACATCTTCAAAAATAAACAAATTTTTCCTCTCTCAGCAGCTATCCGGTGCCAACAGCTCCTCGGGCAAGGAGTGGCCCTGGAGATCGTGCCCGTCTCTGCCTACATTTTAGCGGGCTTGGTCTTGGGCAGGTAACTCCAGCTGCTGTGAGTTCACGATCCTGCTAGCTGTCTGGTGTCCAGAAGACATGATATCCCCGCACTTCTCCCCACCTTCTGGCTCTTACACCCTTTCTTCCTCCTCTTCAAAGATGTCCGCTGCGCCTTGGTAGGGAGTTTAATACAGATGCCCAGTTACGGCTGAGCACTCTGTCTCTTAATCTCAGCACTCTGACTTCCTCTGCATCTCCCCACCGCTGCCTACTCCAACCCAGGTTGAGAGCAGCCAGGCCTAGGGAGAGAAACACAGATATTTAGAAGGCATTGTGACAGCGTGACCATTTAGAGAATAACAATAACAGGTTCTACTCTGAGGCTTATGACCTCCCGAGCTGTAGGCTTTGGACAGAAGTACAGTGCCAGGCATGATATCCTGTGGCTCCATCAGGGCCTCAAATCCAACCAGAGAGTGGCTCTTTACCCCCAGAACAATGGTGCCACTGTGACACCACTGGGCAGTCTCACCTGTCAGGTTCACATCGCAACACACAGGACCCAGGGCTGGGGAAGACCATGAATGTGTCTCCTGCCCCAGCAGCCTGCGTGGCACCGTCTGGCACAGTGAAAGTCAGCCAGCAGGAAGGAAGTTCTCCATCTAGTTGGAATTTGATTTCTGATGTCCTGCGGCCTAAGTGTGTGATAGAAGATAATAAATGTTATTTTAATTGCATTTTGCCACAATTAGCAATTTTTGATGTTTGGAAAAGGGGGTGGCGTACTTTTACAGTTTCATAGATCTTACAACTAAGTGTCTGGTTTAAGAAACCATGTTGAATTCTCTTATCCACTCCTATACATGGTATGCTCCTGTACTCAGTTTGTGGCAACTTGCTGCTGTGATTGAAGTTACATGAAGCTTATGCAGCATCAGGAAGGACCACCGATTTCTAAAGTGTGGAAGCCTTTGGATAGACTTTTCAGGTACAAAGAGGTGTCCTCTGATGTTTTACCAAGTGGCAGCTTCTTATAGATTACTCAGAACGTGGCATCTGAAACCAGAGCCAAGCTGCTGCTGTCACAGTCGGGTCCATTGTCCACCTGGGATTTTGAATCTTTGATGCACACATGCTTTTGTAACTTTAAGCGCAGTATTGGAGAAATACCAGCTGACTCTGCTCTATAACCTTCCAGATTCTGGCACATTCTGTCTTACTGTATCACAGAATCATAAGCCAACATCACTTCTCAGCTCGGTGGAATAGTCCTTACCCATCCTGAAGCTGTCAGGCTTCTGGTGGTGAACCCAAGTTTCCAGAAATCCCAAATTTCTTCAGAAAGCTCAATTTTAATTTAATCCATAAACTATCAGTGATTTCCTCAACACAGCAAGCTTGCTTTGTTTATCCATGTGAATAGGTCTATATCTGCGAAATCTAAATATTCAAAGTTTTCCTGTTGTTCCTACAAGTAAAGCTGGAATATCGTGGAAGATGTAACTCCTCCATTCACAGCTCAACCCACCAAGTAAGTTCTTTTCATCAGGGTGGTCATAGTTCTTCCATGCACAGGAGAAGAGCTTTATAAACAGGATATGAAAAAGATGTGCAGTTAGGGACCGAGGTTTAGGAAAATCAATATCCTAATTACTATTAATATTTTTACGACTCTATGAAGAATGCTGTTGGTGAAACTGGCTTTTTGGTTTTCTCTTCACAAATTCATGTTGGTGAGCTACACCGGGGTGAGCACACAGGTGCCACCGCCGTGCCTGTGCCGTTCCTGCCTCTCAGGCTTTTGCGCCATCAGTACAAAGGTCAGCCCTATAAACAAGGGAAAACGAAAACAAAAAAACAAACCACCGTTGCCTCTCAGTATCCATGGGGAACTGATTCCAGGATCTCCCGTGAATCTCACATCCAAAGATGGTAAAGTCCCTTAGATAAAAAAATGTGGCATTTGCATATAACCCGTGCACATCCTCCTGTATACTATCTCTACATGACTACTACACTATAGTATAAATGCTACCCAGTTGTGAACAACAATGTTTAGGGCATTGCTTCTCAACCTTCTCTTTTTTTTGGGGGGGGGTTCAAGACAGGGTTTCTCTGTGTAGCTTTGGAGCCTGTCCTGGAACTCACTCTGTAGACCAGGCTGGCCTCGAACTCACAGAGATCCTCCTGCCTCTGCCTCCCCAGTGCTGGGATTAAAGGCGTGCGCCACCACCACCTAGCCTAGTTCCCAACCTTCTTAATGCTACGACCCTTTAACATAATTCCTCATGTGGTGGTGACTCCTAACCATAAAATTATTTTGCTGCTACATCATAACTGTAATTTTGTTACTGTTATGAACTATAATATAAATATCTGTGTTTTCTAGTCTTAGGCGACTCCTGTGAAAGGGTCAGTTGACCCAAGGGGTCATGACCCACAGGTTGAGAACCAAATGTTTAGGGACTCGGGACAGTACATGGTCTGCAGAGAAGCCACACATTCAATCTAAAGTCATTTGAATAGTCATCTGCGGGACATACAGATACAGAGAGCCAACAGCACAGTGATCCCATGGGTTTCTAGACTGAGCTCCAAGAGCCTGCTGGGAGAGCCTTGGAGCTAGAGTTCCCACTGAAAAGATGACCCTGGAAATGTTGGGCCAGTTAGTAAACTTTGGTTTCCTCCTCTCTGAGTGGGGATAGTAAGCATTCCCACGAAAGCACACTCGAGGAAGAACTGAGGCCAAGCAGGACGTACGCTAGCCTCAGCACCCGGCTTTCTGTGGGTGACAAATGCCAGCCTTCAGCGCAGTGTCCGTTGTCACTGACGCTGCGCTCACCTTTGCCTCCTCGGCTAAATGCTAAAGTGTTTTAAAAAAAATCCAATAAACAGCACTGAAAGCGACCTCCTCATCTCTGCGACGTTTTCACTTTGCAGAAGAAGATGAGATTGAACAACAAACTGTTAGAGGCTCTGTGGGTAAACATCGGCTGGCGTAGGAACAGTACGTCTGCGGCTGTACTGCCAGGCTGATATCACAGAGGCCTCCGTCCCCGAGTGTAAGAGACGTCTGTGTCATCTTTAAATTAACAAAAGGAACGTTTTAATGCTTGAACGTAGTTTATTCCAAAAGGGGTTCTAGACCTAAGTCAACCCAGCAGAGTACCTCCCATTCTAAAGAGAAAATTGGAAATTTAAATTAGAAAAATTTAAATTAGAAAATGACTAAACAGCGCTGTTCAAGCCAGCTACTGAACAGTTCGCAGAGGCTTGTGGGTTGGTTTTTCTTTTTTTTCCTTCCTTCCTTCCTTCTTTCTCTTTCTTTCTTTCTTTGTGTAAAATTTCTCTCTTTCTCTGTCAGGAAAATTGTAATGAAGAAGTGGGAGTCCCCGGATGATATTTAAATCGTTTCTTAATTAGGATGCGAGTCTTAGCCCCCAGAACCTGTAAAGCGGAAACTTCATCAGAACAGCACAGCCTTTCCCCTCTCAGAAGTATCCAGACTCTTGGGTTTCAAGGAATGCAATAGCTGGGAAGCCTCTGCATTTGTCCTATTTCAAGCTGAGTGTGTAAATAATAAAGGTCAAACTCAGAAAACAGGGCCGATAATTCCTTGGTGACCAGCCAGACTCCAGTTCCCATCATTAATTCATATGTTGATAGACTTCCCCAGGAAGCCTGGGAACATAACAGAAGTAACTCAGCTTCCCCCAAGAGAAAAGGTCTCATTTTTGCTTGGCAGATTCATTCCTAATCACATAGCAGGGAACCATTATTAACATCTGGATATTCAAAAAGAGCCACTGAGTTATTATAAAAACTGCTTCAACTCATCAGCCGAGGCCTCAGATGATCTACAGTGTGCACAATGCTTTCCCCTGCTTTAGTCAAGAAGATAAATGAAAAGATTCTGTGTATTTCAACAGCCATTACACATTTGTTTTCGATCGGGGGGGGGGGGGGGGGGGGGGGGGGGGGGGGGCCCCCATGTCTGCCTACTGTCCCTCCTATACTAAGGCAGATATGTCAGCGGCGGTTTCTACCACTCCTGCAGTGAGTTTCTTCCTGGTGTACAGTTTTCAGAAGGCTACTGAAAATGCTCATTGGTTCAAAACAGCTGCTAGTCGGAGACTAATGCTGCCTTAGACTCTCTCTGATCAAAACTCTTCCGTTCTTTAACCAGCCAAGCCCTCTTCGGTACTTTATACAGACAATTCTTAAACATCGATGGTCGTGACTTTTACAGACCTGCAAGTGCTCTTCACCCTCACCCAAGCCATCAGCATTGGAGCTGGTAGCACTAATAAATGTTATGTCACTCCTCTGTTTGAAACCTTCTCATAGCTTCCTTTTGCTGTTAAGCCAATATACCAGTTCCCACCAGGACCCACGGGCTTCTCTTGCAGTCCCAGTATGAAGAGATTAGGAAAACAAAACAAATCCAAACAAACAATTTGTGGAGCATTGCTCTACTCCCTACCCCGACCCCAGCAAGGATAAACAGCTCAAGACTTTGCAAGCAGCACTTAAGCAAAGTCCATTCCGAAAGTCCTCCCCTCGGAGTGGATTGTCAATGCTCCCTCCAAGTTTGTTTTGCCTCCCCATCCTCATCACTTGTTCCTTTTCCCTCACCATCCCTGGTCCAGCTTCCTCTCCCACCATGCTGCCCATCTCAAGGCTCTGCCCCCAAAGCTTTTGCGATGTTTCTTACCGGCCCCGATCTCATTCGCTCTCAAATCTTGGCATAAGAGTCCCCCCCTCAAGGGCACTTTGTTCATGAACACACACATTCCTCTAGAGGAATCTGTGTTTTGTCTGTCTCCCCAAGGGGCCTCGCTCTATTTGGCTTGTGTAAACTCCTCAAACTTAGCTAAGAACCTACATATAGGCCCTCAAAACTCCATGGGAGGAATGTGGAAGAGCGTTTTTTTTTTTTTTTGACAAGGCAAAGCTCTCCCAACTGATGTTGACTGTGCTGAGATTCAGCATATGTTTCCCAGGGGAGAAACCCATCTCAGATGTAGGAAAGGAAAGCAGGAAGTACTGGGTGTCGGCAGATCGCAGTGGCCTCTTTAAGAGGGCCTAAACCACTGGCCTACATGGTTTTCATCAGCTAATATATTAGTAGTTAAATTGAATATGTTTTATAGATCTACCTTTTTAAAAATTTACCTTCAGAATGAACGAGAAGTTCGGGTGTGCAAACAGCAAGATACAGAGGGTAGTATAGCTGATATCCAGCACCCAAATAAACGATGGTGTTATCTTCTTATTTTATTGAATTGATTTGCTTATTGAATTATTTACTTATACACACATGCACATATGTGCTTGCATGTAGGGGACGTGGAAAGGGCAGCCTTCAGGAGTTAGTTCTTTTCTTCCATCTCTGGGGTCCCAGGGATCCAACTCAGGTCAGCAAGCCCAGCAGCAAATGCCCTGACTCACTG